ACATCCATCCCCCTGTGCCTCCCCTATTCCCCACCCTGCTCAGGGCACAGGGTGAGGCTGGGAAGTCCCTTTTGGGGTCATCTCATCCTCAACACTGGCAGTGGTGCCAATCCCATTCCCAGGACACCAGCACTGGCACAGCCAGGGCTCCATCCATCCTCATCCTCCCTCTGGACCTCAGGAGAATTCCCCTTCCCACCCTCGTGCCAGGAGATGCAGAGGGCCCTTTCCTCTTAGAAAAGCAAATATTTAGTCTAGATAAAAAACCCCCTGAGCCTTTTCCCCAGGTAATACTGGTAACTAAAATAATCACATTCACTTTGCTGGTTTAATTTTATATTTCCATTCCTACCTTATCTTTTTTCTGCAAGCATCATTAAACCACACCATAACAAAAATACATGAACTGTTATTCTTTCCAGAGAAGCCATAAACCACCTCAAAGCTTTTCAAGTTTATTCTTATCTCGTACATCTTCCTCTGGTTCGGGGTTTTTTTTTCCCTTCATGCATTTCAGAAAGGTAGTTTTCCCTAATGTTAAGAATAGTTGCATTGAAAATGAGATGCTGCCTCTGAAAAGCCCCTCTGGAGGATTAAATAAGTAAAATACAGCCAGAAAATAAACTGGAACCTCATTAAAATAATTTTGCAAGGAAAAATCCTGCTCTACAATAGGTTTTCAATATCACTTAGAAAATTCTTCGAGTCATATATATATGTTCTTAATTCAGGACCTTCCATTAAAAAAGACATTACAGAGGGAAGTGAAAGGCCATTTAGTATCCTTGTTTATATAAAAATGCATATTAGGCCCAGATGCAATCTCCAGCAGAAGGTTTGGGATGCAGTTGGAATGAGCTGTGCTTGCCAGGGAATCCAGGACTCCTGCCCCTCCTTCTCTTCAGCTGTTCCCCACTTCCCGACCTCCCTGCAGGGTCAGCTGCTCACCCCAAGGTGCTCCAGCCTGCTCCATCCTCAGCAGACAGGGATGGGCTTGGAGCAGGGATGAGAAGAGCGCAATTCACCCCAAAGATGCCCTGGGGTGGAGCTGGTGTTCCAGGAGTGATCCCTGTGGGAAAGGGGTGACTCTCCCTGCTGTGACTGCCTGTCAGGCACGTTTCACATGTGACACCATCCCAAACCTTGCCCTGAGTGTGTCCCTGGCCTGGTGGGGCGGGGGTGGATCCAGGGGTGTGCAGGATGGGATGGTCACATCCCATCACATCCCAAAACCAGGCCAGCTAACAACGTTCCAACTCAACAGGTTTCACTTTGCATCAATTGCCAGCACACTGCCAGAGTTTTAAAGTGTAAAACTCCTGATCATGGGTGAGGAAATCACTGCTGCTCTGCTCAAAGCAGTGCCAAGGAGCCATCGCTCACCTGGGAGGAAAAAATTCCTGAGGAGGCTGCTCTGAGTGAGGGCTGGAGCTCTCCAGATCAGAGTCGAGGTTAAATCATGGAAATTGCCAAGCTGGGAACAGTTTTGGACGTCCTGCTTAACAAGAAGGTAAAATACAGGTGACCCACAGAGGTATCCCCAATGTACTGAGAAATATTTAATCTCCTGTCATTTAGATGGGATATGAGGAAGAAACGCTCCCCTGTGAGGGTGCTGAGCCTGGCACAGGTGCCCAGAGCAGCTGTGGCTGCCCCATCCCAGCTTGGAGCAGCCTGGGACAGCGGCACGGGGTGGAATGAGATGATCCCAACCCAAACCATTCCAGGATTCCCTGGATAATCCTGAGGCTGGAGCCTAAGGAGGTCGAAGGATCCTCCTTTCCTGCAGGAACCCCTCTGCACTGACCAGCAGATCCCACGCAGCGTTTGGGCAGTCGGTTTCGTGGAGAATAAATATCACACTTCAATTTCATGGTAACTTAGGAGGGTTTACTGGCAAATACCATGGCTTTTACATGGTTCTACCAATTACTGAGCAATTACATGTAACCTAGATCTGGAGGACACACAGCAGCCTTGTAATGTATTCATCTCTCCTGGAAAAGAAGAAGGCAGTTAATAGAAAACACTCTTTTTTTATTATTATTTTAAATTATAAACCTCTCCACAATATTCCTGTGTGACATTATTAAAACTCCACGTCGATATCAAACCCAAAGCAAAGGCTGCCATCCCATTAACACATCAGCTGTGGGATGATCGATAAAAATTTACTTTAAACTGCACCATATGTTGCTCCCCACAAAGTTTTATTATTCAGATTCATCAGTTTGCACCTCAACCCCCGTGCAATTAAATCCCCTTTAGCAGCACTGACCTTCTGATTTGAACTCGTCATTCCTGCAGCTGGTTTGGAGTTTGAACAGCACTTTTAAATAAGGAAAATGTAAAATGTCTGTGGATTAATGGTGGGGTAGGGGGAGCACTCCATGGGCAATCCCTCCTGTGTTGGAGCAGGGAGGGAAAAAAATAAAGGGAAAAAAGAGCCTGAAGAGTGCCAGCACATTTCACTGTGTTGTAGCGTATTTGTAAACATCGTTAATCACGGATTAGCAGATGGTGATGTTAATTGCACCTGTGGAAGTAACAAGACCTCAAGGTTGATTACATTTACAAACCGGGATCGGGGCTGCGCATTCCGGAGGTGCCCCGTGGGCAGCATTCCCAGCTCCAGCAGCATTCCCAGCCTGTCCCCTTCCCCTGCCACCAGCCTGGGCTGGGAGAGGGAAAGGTGTCCCCTGTCCCAGAGCCACTCCAGCCCCCAAAATGTCACTGGGAGCCAGCAATGAACTGGGTGGAAGGGGATTTTTCCAGTGGGTGGATGGGGTGGAACGGGATTTTTGCAGTCGTGGTGATACCCTGAGCACAAAAGGGAAATGTGGGGCAGGAGCTGAGCTGCTCTCACAGCCTGAGCTCCCCAGGGTGGGTTTTTGGAGATGGGAAGATTTGTGTTTTCCCCTGGCTGAAGATAAGGCAGTGCCGGCGCTGAATTCATCTCCTGAATCAAGGAGGACAAATATTTTGCCACTGTGCTTAGAGACACTTTGATTATTGAGAAATCATTCTGGAAGGGCAATTAGTAAATTTTAAAATCAATTTGGTAAATAAGCCTCTGGAAGGAATCCATGACAAGCAGCAGGGAGGGAAGAATTGACTTTCAAATTACACACACACACACTTTATTCATATCTAAATATCAAAGAGAGTCTATGTACAAACAGAAGTCATCAGGAAACCTGTTTTGATCTTGCTGATGTACACAAGAATTGACAATTAATGTCCCCCTTTATGATATAAAGCTGGGAGTTTTTTACAGTTACATTACAGGGACGATTATAGTCAAGCTTAAGGCTAAAAATAATGAAAGACTATAAAAACTACATTTTAACATTTAAAAATACCCAGGAAATTAACTGGAGAAGCAGGCAATGATCCAATTAATGGATTGCATTTATTAGATCAGGGGCAAATGGCACAGCACAAAGCTCCAGCTCCAAAGGTAGGAGAGTGCAGAGGTCCTCATGCTCCTCAGGATGGGGCTAGGGCAGGAGGACAAAGCATCAGCTCCATCCAAAAGTCACTGCAGGTGGATCCCAGAGGGAAAAAATGGGGCTAAAACTTACCAGAGAGGGAAATGGGAGCAGTGGGAACAGCAGAGCCATCCAGAGTGGGATTCAGTGCCCTCACAAACAGCAAAGTCCGAGCTGCAGCCCAAGTTATGCGCTCAAATCCTAAAATTAAAGCTCAGGCAACTCCCCAAAAGCCTTGTCTGATGCTCCAGTGCCAAATCAAGGTGCTCCACTGATACAGGATGGGGAATTCACAGGAGAGTGCTGATGGCCAAGCAGGAGCTTCTCCTCCCACTGTGGTGGATATGGAGGTTCCAAAGCTTTTTGGGAGCCTTCCAGAAGCAAAGGAGCTGCTGCAGGGCTCCTCAGCTGCCTCCTCGTTAGAGGGGCTGAGCAGATGGCCAAGCACAGCCTGACAAAGCCACACAAAGCCAGGAAGAGCCTCCCCACTGCTGAGACAAACTCAAAAAGAATAGAAATAAAAAGGGAGAAACAGCAGTTCCTATGAGATGGGAAATAAATATACTTACCTGTAGGTCAAGAATGAAGAAATGGCTTTACCCTGCTGCTCCAGAGGAAGGATTCAGTTAGCCAAGTGCTGAAGCTTGGGATCTTTCCTCTGGAAAATGAGCAAATCTGAGCCACGGGCACCCTCTGCTGGGGCAGCCTCAGCTGCTGAGGAGCTCCACAGGGCTGCTGGAGGCCTCCAGGCCTGCAGCCCTTTCCTTTCAGCTTTAAACCAGAAAAAAGGGCAAATTCAGCCCCCAAAATGCAGCAGTTCAGGGTTGCTCAGCTCCCATGGATTCAGGTAACAGCCCTGTTTGTATGATGGTGTTGTTCCAGAGGGATTTGGGATTTGTCCCCCTCAGGACCCAGCTCAGGGGCCGTGTCCCCACCCCAGGCACCCTCCTGTCCTGTCCACCACAGCCACAGAAGGGAGCCCTGGACACCCTTCAGGAGCTTCATGCCCTGTGCCCCATCCCAGGCACCTGGAGTGTCCCCAGGACACACAGGGAATACCCCCAGACCAAGGCCTTCAGACTTCATTTAGCTCAAAGGAAAGTTCTAATTAGTCACTCAGAGTGATTTACTTATTCATTTGGAAGTGGGGAGGGGGCAGACTGAGCGGAATTGTTTGAAATTATCCCTAAAGGGCACTGTAAATTAAGTGTTAATGAGGAATCCTATGCAAAGGGCCGTGGTAGCTAAATAAAATAATTAAGGTGCTAAGTGATAACATTCTTTTGGCTCTCAATAATTCAGCCAGCCTGGTTTTTCAAGCAGGATAGCTGCAAATGAAGCCACCCCACTGCCATCAGCAGGACAGCGGTCCTGGGGCACCTCAGCCTCCATCAGCCCAGCTTGGAAAGGAAACTTCCCCAGAAAGAAATGAGCTCTAGATCCTTCTTCCCACCTGAAGGTCTAATCACACTCTGGATTTATATGACACTAAATGGATTTGAGTCTACAACCAATCTTTACAAAAGCTTTATTTCCACGGGCTGCATTTCCCCCCACTGCAGCTGTTTGCCAGCCCTTGGCAGGGCTGCACACCTGCTTTAAAAACAAATACAGAAAAACCAGCTCCAGTGGTTCCCCAGCTCAGCTGGCACTCAGCAGCTGCTGCCCAGGAGAGGGCACAGGGCACTTTCAGTGGCACCGTCACCCAAACTGTCCCCAGGGTTCAAGGGATGCACAAAGCACGGTGCTGGCAGCCATCCCTGGGTGTCTTCCTGCCAAAACTGGCTGCTCCCAGACCTGTCTGCCTTCCCACAGCTGCTCCTCCCAGGTGTTTCCCAGGACATCAGGTGTTTAGTCAGGGATCTGGTGGCTTCTGCAGCAGCCAAAATGCAGCTCAGGTCACTGGGGCTCTCTCTGGAACTCACAGTGATGGTGGAGACCCTGGGAAGAGCATTTCCATATCCACCCTGAGCAGATTCCTCCACCAAACAGAGGATTTCAATCTCCATGCCCTGGTCTCCGGCTGCAGATGGAGTGCAGGAGGATACCTGTAGGAAAGCAAAACTAAATAAATATTAAGGGATTTTTTTTTTTTTTAGGTTTTTTTTTTTCAAAGCACAAGGAAATGGTTCAGTGGACCTGGATGATTGTTAAATACAGAAGCTGGGGGTGGTTTGGTGCTCAGAAGAGCTCTCACCTGCAGCCACAGAGACGTTGAGGGAGTCGATGCCAGGGTGCAGTGCCCTGCCCGGGGGGATGGCCAGCATGCGCTGGCACTGCAGCTGAGTCTCCAGGGAAAGGCCCTCCCCTTCACTCCCTGCAGGACAGAGACACTGCTCAGCTCACAGCACTGCCACGTCCTCTCCCCCTCCTCAGTGCAGCTCTTGCTCAGCTCAAGCTCACCAGGTTCCACACAGCAGCTGAGCCACCAGAGGGGAGCCAGCACCTTCCTCCCTTCCCTCCCTGGATCTGCTCTCCAGCATCTGGAGCGGCTTTGAGGAGTATCTGCCCAACACAGCTGCACAGAGCTCCCGTGGGCACAGGCTGCTGGCACTGGGACAACGCAGGCAAGAGCCACAGGCCAGCAAATCCCAGCTCCCTATTGCCAGTGACAGCTCCAGCCTTCCCAGCACACACACTCACACTCCCCCACGGCCTGGGTGCAACTTGTGCATGCAGACAGTTGAACCGGAGGCTTCAATTGATTAGTTGTTAAACCAGCCAGCAGCCCTGATGTGTTTGGGCTGATACACTGGTGAAACAGAGTTGAAATCTATCCCAGGTCATTAGGAGTTGTTTGACTCACACTGTCACAAAGGGAAATGGAAAGGGAGAGGCTTTAAACAATGCTGTGCGCAGACAGGTGAGAATGCAGAGGGCCATGGACCTCCCAGCCTGCCTGGCTCCCCAAAGGGTTCTTCCACATTGTTATTTAGAGCAGCACAGGCAGCTCCAGGGCTGCAAGGATGGCCAGCTCATCCCAAACACCTCTGGCAAACAGGCCCAGCACATGGCAGCCAAAGCTCCCCTCCAACAGCCGTGCCCTGGCCTGGCTGAGCCCCACACCAGGGCACTGCCAGGGCACCCTGATCCCTCTGACCACACAGGGATGGCAAGTGTCATCACTCCCAGTCGGTTTCTTTTCCTCTCATGTTTTACTGGGCTGATCTAAGATGCACTCTGGGTAAAGAAGAGGATGCTTTGGGTAATGCACCCTGCTTCACCTTCCCAGACGAACCCAGTCATGGCAAAAGCTCTTTGGTTGGGGTCAGTGAGCCTTCAGAAGCCCCTAAGCCCATCCTGACCAGTGCTCCCCCCTGCTGTAAGCCAGCAGTGCACACAAGGCCTGGGGGAGTTACCCAAGGTCACGGGGTGACAGCAGGAATCAAAGCCAGGCCTCACACAGCTCTGCCTGTCTCCTCACCACTGCTCCAGGGATGCTTTCAAAAACCCAGAAATAGTATCCTGGAAAAGTTTTACACCTATCTGCCTCCTGAGCCTCTCAAACCACACTCCCACAGGACTCTCCAACTGGGACAGGAGCAATGGCTCCTGGAGAAATCCTCTCCTGTCCCTGATAAGAGTCTTACAATTCCCAATAAAGGCACCGATTTTGCCTCCGGCTTTTACAAAGCTTTTTATGGGCCTGGCTGCTTAAAATAATTAGGAGCGATAAATTCAGAGCAAAAAGACTTGCACAGTGTGACACAAGGGAGGGAGTATTGACTGAATCAGATTAAATCCTGGTTTATACTGGTGAACAAAACACTTCCCACTACAGATCTTTAACTTCCACCTCTCAGCTTTGTCCCTCACTGACAGAGCTCAAAGACCAGAGCTTGGTGAAATGACAAAACACATTCCCTGCCCCATTTGCAATTAACACCACTGACAACTGCAATTTCCAGTGCAGGAAATTCAGACCCAGCAGCAGAAAAATATGCAAAATGAGCATCTCCATAAAACCACCAGCTCTGCGAAGAGCCTTAAACCCCGAGCTAAAGACTGAAGGTCTAAGAAGAACAAATTACCCAAAAACTCTTCTTACTCAGCCATCTAAGTGCTCCCAATCTGTTCCTGTGTGCAGCAGGCTCCCAGTCTGAGCTGTTGCCTCCAGCAATGATTCCAGTGCAGACAACATTAAAGCTGGACTGTCCAAATCACTCTCTGCCAAGCCAGCGAGGATGCCAGGAGGGGGAACTGGAGGCTGCAAATGCTTAACTTACAAGACAATCTGTGTGGTGCCAGGGAGCTCAATCCCAGGCTGAATTATCTCTGCTGCTCCCTGCAGCTGCAGGAGTGCTCCATATTCAGATCCAGGACGTTTCTCCCAACAAGCCCAGCATCAGACGACCGTAATGTTCAATTTTCTTTTCAGCCAAGAGTTAGTGCTCAGCAGAGAGTTGAAATCATTACTGCTGCAAGGTCCAGGAGCTCTCCTCATGCATCTACCAATCAGCCTCCAATCTCCCCTGACAAAAGGATATTTGGACTTTTTCCTGGAGAAATCTCTCATAACTCAAGGTAACGACACTGCTGCCGCTTCCAGCCCCTGCCTGTCTCCGGGTGCTGTCGCCGTTTGTGGGATGCATTTCTTTGTGGGCAATCAGCAGAGCTGCCAGCCTCCCTGCTCCCCCTGGAATACAGCTCCACACATCTTGTAGAGATGCCAGATTTGCAGCGTTGTCTTGTCAGTGTTTCCAGGAGTTCAATAAACATTTTAATTAAAGGAATGTCCTCCGAGCCAAGCCAGCCCCAGCAAGGGGCAGGATTACAGCCCCTCCCTGGCTTGTGGCCAGCAGGACTCTACTTCCAAGGGAAAAAGCTCCAGCCAGCTCCTGTGCCAGGTGACACAGAGTGGGGGACATGGCACAGCCACACACAGGTGCCTGGAGCTGCTCTCCTGGGGGAATTTCTTTCTTCAGCTGCCACAAAGCTGCTACTCCCCTTCCCTTCACCTTCTGGGAGGCTGCACAAGCCCAAACTGTGCCTACAGAAGGTGAGAGTGGGCAGAATTCCCAGCAAGAATTGCCAGTTCAGGTGCTCAGGGAAGTGGCAGTCACTGCTCCAACAGGGAGGAGATTCCTCTGCTCTTGCTGTGCCAGGTGTGCCCTGACTGCTCTCAGGGGTGGCTACAAAGCCCAGCTTTGCATCCAGACTATGCCCAGCTACAGCCCCTCATGGTTCCTCCCACACCAGACATTCCTGGATTTTAAGGGCAAATGTGGCACAGCTCCCCCTGAGCAGCTCTGAGCAGCAGCTCCAGAGCTCTCCCTCAGCTTGGGGCTCACCACCACAGAAAACCCAAATCTGGGGCTCCAGCACAGGATCAAAACACAGAACACAATGTAAACACCACACTGTGGCTGCCCTGGCACCAAATCTGCACCCAGACCCTCCACAGCTGCTGAACTCCCTGTGTATCCACAAACTGTTCCCACTGGGAGCTCCCTCAGCTCCCCCCATTCCTCTCAGCCTCTGCTTCATTCACAGCCAGACCATTCCATTAATTCACTCTCAGCTTTTCTCTTCCAGTCCTGGAACAATCCCTGGAGTGAAGCATCCCCCTCACAGCTGCACCCCCACCCAGCCCACAGCTCTGGAAATGGAAATACCTATCACTACAATAACGGGTTTGTCCCACCGGAATTCCGAGCAGCTGATGACAGGAACATCTTCCACATCCTCAGGCCTGCTGACTGTTCCCACCACTTCCCAGCCTTCTGCAATTTTAGCCTAGAAAAGGGAAAGAAATCAAGAATTGCCAGATATTCAAGCTTGAAAAGAAGTCATGTATGCAAACATTATTTGTTTTTACATTTTCAGTCAAGCTGACTGGAGGTTTTTTTTTTTTGGCATCCCTTAAATTTTTACCTGCAAAGGGCTCCCTCTCGCGCCTCACTGCATAGGGGAAGTGTAAAAAGATTCCCAGCAGCTCCCCCCAGCCCTGTTTCCTCCTCTATTCCCTGCTCCAAAGGCTGCCCAATGCTGCCATCGTGTGCCTGGGCCCTGGGATGCTGCTCTGCCACACAACCCGAGGGAGACAAACCCCGGCATGCCGAGAGCCACAGGACTGTCCTGGCACCACTAGCTTCCAGAAAAAACAGCCACCCCCTCTCTCCCTACCCGAGGGAATGGAGCTGGGGTGTGTGCCCAGCACTGCTGGCCCCAGCACAAACACTGCAAGTAACTCAGGGCACCCTAAAATAACCCTGTGCCTCCCCTCTGTGTAATACCTGCGGTGTTTGAGTATTGCTGGAGAAAGGAAAAAACCTTTTTTGTACCTTCAAAAAGCCCTGCAGATCATCTGTGCTGTAAACATCGAAGACCTCCATGGCTCCAGCGCTGGCTTTGCTCACTACGGGAGTCAAGGGGCAGCTGCAAGGGGAAAAGAATGGAGAAGTGTCACACGAGAGGAAATCAGGTGAATTTTTGGTTCTGAACCTCCTCCTCCTGTCTCTACAACCCTCCTCCAGATGCCACTCACTATACAGATGTGTTTTCCTATGGAGAATGAGGGCTCAGGAATTAACCCAGGAAAAGGGTCACAGGTGGGTCAACTGAAACACAGAATGGGTTAAAACAAGAGTCCAGGGAGAGCCTGGAACCCCACATCCCACAGCATCCCAAACCCTGCTCTAGACATCAGCCCCAGAAATCTCTTTAAACATCAGCTGAGTGATGAAGCCTGGAAACCCGTGTGGGAGGGGAAGAGGGGCTGGAGGAGCCCGGACCTGTTGCTGTGGCCCGTACCTGTTGCTGTGGGTCGCCACCACTCTGTCCACCCCCAGGAAGTACGCGGAGCGCAGCAGGGCCCCCAGGTTCATGGGATCCTGGATGTGCTCCAGCACCAGCCACAGCGGCTGCCGGCTCCCGCTGTCTCCATCCCCCGGCTGCGGCTCCTGGGCGTCCCGCAGGCTCCTGAAGGGCAGCGGGGCGGCCTCCAGACACACTCCCTGGTGGGGCCGGCCCCAGCACAG